ATAAAGTCTTCGCTAATCTTGTTCATCATTCCTCCATTTTCCTTATTCCTGTTTTATGTTAGAGAATTTTAATAAGAGGCTGGAGAAAACTGTAATTGAGGCTTCAGTCCTAGGGGCTGTAGTGCGCCCCATCCCATAACTTTGTCTCTATTTTCTTTTCATCCACTGCACCTCGTTTTCGGGACCTGTCACCCCACAGAAACCAATACTGTCTCAAAACCCAAAACCCAAAACCCCAAAACCAAAACAAAGCAAAAACAAAAAACCAAAAGACTGGGAGTGTTAAATAAATACTTTAAAATGCTTAAAGGAACAGTTGTTGCTAAATCAAAGTGTAAAGGAACTGTCACATGTGTGCCTAACCCGTGGTCCATGGGCCACAGGTTCTGCCCGCAGTTAAGAATGCAGCACCACAGATTATAAACTTTTAACGTTATTCTTAGATTTTTAGTGATGGTTTTCATTACTTGACCGTGTGCTGCTCGAGTGCGGACTGCGTAGGCGAGAAGAGAACATTGTGCGGGGCAGGGCACTGTGCTACCTCTGTCCCCAGTGCCTGTCACACAGCCAGTGGAATGGAAACCAGGGTGTGTCAGAGCACAAACGTGTTTGTGCTGCTGGTGAGTAAAATACAGTGATTACCCATAGCAGTATTTCAACATACTTACACATGTGTGTCCTGCTATTAAGTAGACATACAAGTTTTATTATTTAATTTTTAATCATGGCCTTGTGCTATTTCATAAAATAATAAAATATAAAAAGAGAAGTTGTGTTGCTTACATACATTAACTATATTATATATTTTCTACGCAGCCCAAGACATTTCCTCTTCATTCATTGTGGCCTATATTGGCCAAACTGTTACAGAGTCACAGAACCATCAAATTTTTAGAGATGGAGGCATTTTAATGATAATCCAGCACGAGTCTTCATTTACACAAAATTTGAAGCTGCAGCTCCTTGCCTCAGTTACCCAGATGACTAGTGTCCTAAACTCTGAGTACCCAAAGTCTTCCCTGGTTGCTTTGTCTGTCGCTCACATTCAAGACAGCAGTGAGAGCACCTGGTGGCTTTGAAAGGACCTAATGTTCACCCACAATACCAACACATCCAGATATAACATCTCCTTATTGGACGCTCAGTACTTTCAACTGTAGCAGAAAATGCTCCCCCAGGCAGTATACTTCAGTTGCCCAGGTGATAGTTCCTGTTGCAGTTGTGGTTGCTTCTGTCTCTTAGAAACGGCTGGTACTGTAATACATAGCTGGTCACTATGATGCATATTGTAAGAACCAATCAAAGACAGCCAAGTACTGTACCTCTGTAACCCCCCGCCACTTTGCAAATCCATAAAAATCTCCCTCCCTGACCCTTCCAGACTGGACATTTTGAGAAACAATTGATTCCCAGTCAGTGCTAGTCCAACACTAAAGAAATCTACCTCCAAATCCTGGGTGTTGTTTCAGTGTTTATTTGCTGTTGCAAAACCACTGTCCTATACCTTATCTCCTTTTATAGTAAGCTAGCTAAAAGAATTCAGTGAATGAAATTTTCATACAAAATACTTTGGGATTATGTTAAAGTTTCATTAAAATGAAGCAGCTAGGGGCTGGGGGTTTAGCTCAGCGGCAAAGTGCCTGCCTGGCATGCACAAGGTCATGAGTTCGGTTCCCGGTACCGGAGAAAAACCAAAAAAAAAAAAAATGAAGCAGCTAACAGCAGGGTATGTCCAGTGGGTTTCTACTTTGGCTGTTATTTATTGTCTTTGCACAGTGACTTGAAACCACCTCTGTAATTTTCTCAGTCTTGTCCAATATATTTCCTCTCCTCTAACCAGTAGTGTCCAACTCTGAATTTTAAAAATACATCTTGTATTTCTACACCTGTACTTCTGCTCATTTGCTTTTTTTTTTTGGTTGAATTCCCTCAAATCCCCTTTAAAACAGTTTAACTTCTAACATTTGAAAGATCATTGCTTTAAATGAATTTAACAGAAAAAATTAAATTAAAGATAAATAAAGCACGTTTGTGTTAGTCAGCTTTAAATTTCTGGGACAAAATTCCTGACATACACAGTGTCATGGAGGAGAGAGTTATTCGGGTCACGGTTTCAGAGGTGTCAGTCCATTGTCTGGCTCCAAGGCTGAAACACGGTGGTAGGAGGTGGCAGAGGAAAGTTGCCTACTGCATGGCAAACATAAATTTAAGGTTATGACAAATCTTCTATGTCACTTTTTCTCTTACAGAGATGGCATAAATACTGATTCTTTAATCTTTATCTGGAAGCAACTGACTCACAAATGGAAATTATTAGAATATATTTGTCAAGCAGTACAGAAAAATCTTTTATTCATTGTTGGTTTTATGAGGATTCAATGGTCAATGGAATGAATAACTCCTACTCAATTAGGTGAATAGCAGGGCTAGGGATATAGCTCAGTGGCA